AATATTGCACATCGCAGGCGAAGTATGAGGCTCCATTTGTGTGTGTATCCGGATTTGTCACTTCTGGAATATTCTCTGGCTATGAACCTCGGACTCCCAATGCACTGTGTGTATCTTGGAGCCCAGGGCTCCATCCATTATCCAGCAGCGAGTTGTCTGAAGGCTGGGCATGCCAACATGCCAGGAAGCTGAAGACACAACCACAGAGGCTGCAGAAGCATCCATCGATTCTGGGCTGTCACCACGGCTTATTAGTGTGTGGAGTTCTGCCTGGGCCCTGCTCAGCAGCTGATGGAATAACCGGTCCTTCAGTCACATTTTCCTACAGAGATGGGCAGGTCAGGGTTGCTGAAAGCACGTGTGGCTTGTGGCAGAAGAATGCCAAGCCTAGGGGAGACCTTTGGTCAGCAGAGAGGTCATACAGCTGACCTGGGCTTTTGGCTTGCTGATTCTTCAGTGTTCTGGCATAACAGACTGGAGGCATTTGCTGTTTTTTTATGTCCTGCTTGAAGGAGAAGCAGCCCAGCAGCCTTTCTGCACTGCATGGCAACAGCTCGTTGAAACTCGAGGGGTTTCTGTTTGCTCAGGAGAGATTCTGGCTGGGGAGGGCCACAGCTGGGAGATGATCCAGGGCTGAGTCCTCAGGCTGAGCTGAAATCAGCCTGCACAAGGTGCCACTCAGTGTGAGCAGGGACAGGAGGCTCCTGCCCCAGTGAGGTCCCACTGGAGCCCAGGAGACTGAGTGGGTACCAAGAACGGAGTTTTTCTTCCTATTTGGTCATGTTATTTTTGGTGTAACTCTCCTGAGTTCAGGCCACAGGATTTTTCCAAGACTCTTTTACAATTGACACAGTCTCTGTCTCATCTGCATGTTTTGTTGTCAAATTCCAGTATTCAGTATTCTCTTTTATTTTAAATTTTCCAGAATATTAGAAGAAACTGCCCTGTGGTTAAACAAGGAACTGACATCCAAAGGATGATTGAATGTGACTCCAGACTATTCCACAGACTTCCTCTGTTTCCAGGGAAGTCCTTAAACCCTTGTGTCTGTTGGAGTCCCATCTGCAAGACAAGGAGAATTTCATGCTTTTCCCTCATCTGAGTCTCAACATCTTTTTGTGTTTGCAGGGCACCAAATGAGGCTTCAGTATTAGTTGGAGCTTTGGGGGTTTACCATAAAAAAAGTTAATAATAACCAGCCATATTTCATAGAATCATAGAATGCTTTGGGTTGGAAGGGACCTTTCAGATAAAATGTGATTTGCAGTTTAATATGCTAAGTAACAAAGACTTTACCAAGAGAATGAACAATAGCCTTTTCCATTTCACAAAATAATTTGCCAGGCATAATAAGTGCACCAGCATTTTTATAAAAACAAATTATAAATAATTGCTTTTTGCAATTTAATACACACATAGAAAAAGCCAAAAGAGTTCAGCAGCTACCAGGAATCTGATTTCATTGTCGATTTGGACTGTCTCTGCAGTTTTTATGAAAATCCCTGAAGACTGTGCTATTTTGTAAACTAAACATGACTGCTTTTTTTTTCCTTTTTTTTTTGCTGGCCATGTGAAGTCTTTTTCCATTCATTAGTGAGCTGCTTTTTTCATGGACACAATTAGACAAAGGAATAAATCAGTCAACAGACTTGGGATATAATTTTGGCAATACCAGGCCATCTATGCTCTTATTTGCTTAGCTGTATAAATCTTTCACCAGAATACAAATGAGGCCTGTTCCCTTAGTCTTGGGGTTGGGGAAAGAGAAGGATCAGGCCAGACCCTGCAGATTTGATGGCTCCTACCCACCATGGCTGGTGTTGAGCAGTTTCCCTCATTACAACCCTTCAGCATTCCTGCTATTGAGGACTCACTTCGAGATAATTCTCCCATTTCCTTTCTCATATTACATTTCTCCTATTACAGAGTTTAAGAAACATGCCCAGGACAATGGCTCCCTGAGGGCTGTGTCTCTGTGAAGGGTTGTGATGTCCCTCCATGTCTGAATGTCTGCCTGCCTCACTGGTTTTGGTTGGTGGCCTCTCAATGTTCTTCCAAAGAGAGGAAGGTTTATCTCTGCTGCTCCCAGGACAGGGGGAGGTGAGGTATGTTCATAATGATTCATCTCATATCCCTCCTGGCACCCCCAGTACACAGCACACAGGGATCTTGCTTCTCTTTGCAAGGAGAAATCCAAGTTTTGCTGGCAGCAAGAGGCAGTGATTCCCTCCCTGGCATTCCCAGCCAGCTGTCATGCTTGCCATGGGTATGGATGTGCACCCACAAGGGCAAGGATTTGTGACTGATCTACACTGGAGCAGGATTTGCTTCATCCCACCTCTGATTTTTTTTTGTGTAGCTGAAGACACTGCATTTCAAATTTATAGAGGATTGAGGCCTGAGAGATGCCCTTCATTGCTGGGCAGTACATCTGCATTTCCATCCCTCTTCAAGGCTCCTTTGGGGCTGAAAACTTGTTCTGACTCTACTACCCAGGGTACCTCATGTTCCTCCAGATCATATTAAGCTTCCTCTGTGAAAAAATACAAGTTCAGAAAAGAATTTGAGATTTATTCCCCCCAGTTTATTGTTTTTCAAACAACATTTTCAATTTCTTGTTGTGGGTGGATTTCCCTTCCCTATCCATGTGCTAGCCTTGCTTCCCATTCCAGTAATTTAAGAAAAAAAAATTCTGCCCAAGTAACATAAACAGTGAGCCTTTATGATTTTTTAAAAAGATATTCTCAGGTTTCCTGCTCTATTTTTCTTTTTTTTTCAGAGATCACCAGATAAATAGGCCTCAGGAAAGATACACCAGGAAGGCAACTATAAATACTCCAAAATTGCTGAGAATAAGTGTCAAGGCTTAATGCATAACTAATGGACTAATCTGCAATTTTACCACAAGATATTTATCTCCTGGCTTGTTTCCATGGTAGTCTCCCTGAAATATATGTCTATTCAAAGTTTATTTATCCTACCCAAGAAAACTCATTTCCTCTTCATAACCTGTTCCTCCCCTCTTTTCAAATTAATTTTTTTTTTCAGAGATGGCTTGTCAGTGGCCAAATGCTACCCGTGGTGTAGTCTATAATTGAAGCAGAAGGAGCCTTTAGATAAAAGTGCAGTGCCAGCTTATGCCATCTGTCATTGGTAGTGCATTATCACTGCAGGTATAAATGAGCTGGCCCTGAGCTGCATGGCTGCAAACGTGGTGTTCAGTGGAGTATAGCTGGGAATGGGCTTAATCTCTGCCATGCTTAGGCTCCTGCAGACATTTTCAGTCAGACTTCTCACTCAGGGGAGGAGAAGGAGAATTTGTCTTGTGTTGCTCACACTGGCTGTATTTCCATCAGGGCTCCTGCTGCCACATTTAGCCCTTAGGACTGACTGATTTATGGGGCAAGGTGCTAAAAGTCAGGCACTGAGAGTCAGGAAAGTCCAAGTTCCTGTGCAGGAAGACCTTGCAAGAGGATACTGAGAGGGTTTGAGGCTGCCAGCATCTTGGCCCGGTTTGGAGAGTACAGCTCATCCATCCTTGGGGCCAGGGCAGCATGGACATGACTGGCCATTGGCTTGTAAAGATGACTTTAAACTGCCCCCTTCTTGCCTTTGTCCTGTGTGGGTCAAAGTGCTGGGATGGGGGGAGAAATGATCCTGCCCAGGGACACTACTGCTGGGAGAGGATCACCAAGTTGGGCCCAGGGCACTTTCTAACTTGCAGCCTGATCTGGGATGCTGAGGAGCAGTTTTGGGTGCTAAACCATCCAGGGGTGTACAGGAACTGATGATCACAGCTTATTCTCCATGGACACTTCCACACCAGGCACCAAGTTTAGCTTTCTGCTATTTAGAACTGTGCCTTTAGCCCCAGAGGCTGGAAATTAAACTCTGTGGTTTTTTACTCCACTTCCCTTGTCAATGCCAGTAAAAAGAAGCCAGATCCAAGGGAGAGCCATGTGTCTGGCTAGCTGTCTGCACTGCAGGCCCTGGCAGGGCAAGGCTCCTGTCTGGTGGAGAGTGGCTGCATCTTTTCTGCGCTGGTTGCCTTACTGGGATCTGTTTTCAGTTGCTGCTGAGACAAACTCACCAGTCAAATTATTGCTGCTTTTCAAGTCCAAGGCAGCAAGGTTTCCTGTAAGCACTGTTGCACATTGCATTTGCATGAGTCGCTTTCTCGGTTGTCTCCACAAACAGAATTCTGTCGTTAATTTTACTCTTCTATTCAATGGTAATTTGTACATTGTGCCTATCCAGCACAAGCCAGGGGGTGATGATGTTGGTACTGTGCTGAAGGACATTCAAAGTGCAGGCAAATCCATTGTTTTACTCTGAGATGAACCAACTGTTGAGCACTGATCATTTGCTAAGTTGGGATACGTGCTGGGTAATCATCCTTCCTCAGTACCAAATACAGATTCTGGGGTCTTGTGTGTTGGATCTGCTTGAGTTCTGGTATTGCTGAGTTTGTGAAGGGTTGTTTCTGTGCAATCTCCAGTGATATGGTACCCAACCCTGGTGAAAGATTTAACCTTTGGACTTCCCCCTCCTTTGCCAGGAGGTAGAGCCTGGCAGCCTCCAGCAAATCCCAGGGCTCAGTGGTGACATGTTGAACAAAAAGGTGTGCTCAGAGATCTTACAGGTCACTCTGCCCGGGCTTGGTTGGAATCCTGGAGCTGACAGCCACTCCAGATCCAAGCCAGCAAACATCTGTGTGTGTTTCTGTGTTGATGTGTCTGTGTCAGCTTCATGGCGAATCAAGACAGTTTCTGAGCTGAGGTGTTACTAAATTAGAGGGACTGGGTGACATGGTCATGCTGCAGCACAAGAAATTCAGATTATATAGGAGGAAAAACTTCTTTTCCAGATACTTAGAGAAGGGATAAATCTCTATTCTTTGAGATTTTCAAAGCTTGCCTAGAAAAGCTGAACTGAGGTGTTCAAGCAGCAGGGTGGATGAGATCTCCCAGTTCCCTTCCTTCCAAAAGTCCTGTGATTCTACAAAGTCAGAGCATTGGAACCTCTGCTTTCTTTTTCTCTTCAAAATAAAGATAATCCTCCACCAGACTTCCAGGCTTCAACAAGTAAGAAAGCAAACAACCCCCCAAGCAAATAAGCAAGCAGACAAACAAATAAAACCCTAAGTAAACAAGCAAGCAAACAACAAACCCCCCCCAAAGCCAAAATGAGTCTTATTTATTTCATTCCTCAGTTGGCAGTCAGCCTCATGATTTGTGTGGATTTAATACTTCTCTTTTTTTTTTTTTAATGTTTTTGATCTTGGCTGGTAATCTGTAATTTGAGTGGAGTCACATGTGAACATTTGCTAGCTCAGAATTACTATAAATGTTCAGCACCTGGAAAGGAGGGAAAATGGCTCAGATAGAGGTGATGAGAAGGGCTCTAACTGTGTGCAAGACCTGTGTTTGTTTCAGGATCTCTATAAACCTGCTGGAATTGGAAAAAGCTGTTCTGCTGTAAGCTTCACTTGCAACCTCCAAAAACAAAAGCAAAGTGCCTTTCCTGAAGAATTAAAGCACTTATTTCTCCTGAGCCACTAGGGACAATGGAAGTGAAGGAGGTGAAACAGTTAAGAGCACTGAAGAGCTTATCACATGCTCTTGTTTGGTGCAATGTTCACTTTCACTTCGCAGGGACGCTCCAGCTGATCTTTGTTGTGATGGCACTTTGTTGTGACGGGCACTGAGCCCACCTGGGACGAGGCTGAAGAACCAGCTCTGTGCTTTCATGCGTGGTTACCTAAGCAAAGAGAAGAGGGGAGAAAAAGAAAGAAAGGAGCAATAGACCTGTGGCATGCTGGCTTAGCACCTTTCACACCGTAAGCTTTGAACTGTGCACGCAGCTTGCGCGCCTTATCTACGCTCCACATTCACAGCCGGCAGTGCCTTCGTGCCATTTGTCAGCCTGTCCTGAAACAAGTCACCCTGTGAGCACTATGAATGCAAAAGCCAGCTCTGGAGGTGAGGAAGAAGCCTCAGGAATGAGGAATGAGGCCAAAAGGCGACAAGTGATCCGTGTTGCCTACGTGATCGCAGCCCTAGACCTGACCCTTCTCTTCATGCAGCTGGGAGTCATGCCTGTGAGTATGGGTTCTCTTACTTCACAGCACATCTCCTTCAATGCCAGGCTCTGTAGTTTTCCAGCAAAGTCAGAAGATAGCTTTTAGCAGGAAAGAGGAAAGGTATCCTTGAAACTGCAAGGAATACTTGGCGTTCTTACCAAGCAGGCAGGCTGTGTCTCTGTCCAGAGTACACCCAGGCCATAAAAGCTGCTTTATTACTTGGGCTGCAGTACACCTAGAGCCCTTTCCTGGCCTGAGGGCTCTGGTGGAGCTGACATGGTTTGTGTCTTCTTGCACRGAGTGTGAGTGAGCCATCCAGCAGCTATCAGGAGGCAGAGGTTTCAGATCAAAGGTGGGTCCTTCTGAGTGCATAATTAACCAGCTCAGAGGGATTCGTTGCTTCTCACTTATTGGACTCTTCTGTCTGATTTTATAGAATCAGTGAGGACTTTTGGTTGGAAAAGGCCCTTGGGGTCACTGAGACCAGTCAGAAACCTAACACTGCCAAGTCCACCACCAAACCATGTCCCTGAGTGCCACATCTGCATATTTTTAATATACCTTCAGCAGTGGTGATTCCACCTTTTCCCTGGCCACTCTGTTCCAGTGCATGACAATCCTCTCAGTGCAGAAAAATTTCACAATATCCAATCTAAACCATCCCTGGCACGACCCGAGGTAAATTCCTCTTGTCCTATTGCTAGTTACTTGTGAGAAGATGCTGACCCCACCTGGCTACCCATCCCTTTTAGGCAATTGCAGAGAGAGATGAGGTCTCCCTGCACCTCCAGGCTGAACAAAAACGACACAACAAAAACATGGATCAGAAATAACTGCCCATTGGCTCTTCAAGGTGTGCATCTGTGTTTTCTGCAAGCTCAGGCTGTGGGTGTGCCATCCAGCAAAGGCAATATTTGCTCATGTTGTACTTGCATTGATTCTGGCTTGCTTGATTAAACAACAGCTCCAAGACTTCTCCATAGTTGTCTCCCAGAGAGTGACTGGGCTGTTCCAGAGGCTGGAGGCAGGAGGAATTTAAAACTTCCCTTATCCACCTTAGCAGTTGCTGAATATGGTCAGCTGTGTTGAACTGCAAAGGTAAATAATGGTGATAGAAACTTGTCACCTGGTGCAAAATTGGTGGTTTTGATCACATCTCCCTTCTTCAGGGTGTGAGACAGAAACATTTGGTCTTTATTAAGCTGCCAGTGCCTGAAGATTTCCTCTCTAGGGGTGGGGAATCGAAGGAAGCGGTTGTTTGGAGCTGTGATACTCTCCACACAGATATTAACATGTTTATTCACAAATGTAGTATGCTTCTTTCTCATTCATTTGTTGGGTTTGGTTTTTTTATTTTGTTTTTATTTTTAGTACTTGGCAAAGAGCCTGGGTTTGGATTCAGTGGGGTTTGGTTATCTCCAGACCATCTTTGGTGTCCTCCAGCTCGTGGGAGGTTACATTTTTGGAAGGTAAGAGAGAATGATTCTCATGACCCTTTACATAATTGAAAAAGACCAGGCATTTTTACACTTTCATAAAAATCATTTAGTTCTGGTCTGTGGTCCTGTTCAAATGTTTGAGGATTTCCTAATGAGCAAGGGAAAAATAAAGGCTATTATTAGAAATACTGCAGCATAGAAGCAGCCTTTATATTAACTTAGCTACGTTTTAATGACACACATTTAAGAAGTGTAACAATATCCTGGGAATTGGCTTAAACCACCAAAGTCCTCAGAGCTCAGGTCCTAACAGCTTAATCCTGCAAATGTTTTATAGTCAAAATGTCTTGTGATTGGGAAAAAAAAAAAAAAAAGGAGTTTATTTATTGATGGTAAATAGAGCTGTCAATTACAATAATTGAAGGCTGTGTTATTTCATCAGCTGAATCTGCAACCTTGTTGAACACAAATTTAGACTTGCACAAAACTTTAAGAACTTATAAGAATCTTTTAAGAATATCTACAAAACTTATCTATCAAAATAAGAAAAGAGTGGAAAAGACTTCTGCCTCTATCCCATGGAACAGACTTTCTTGTTCCTAATGAAATATAAATAGCCCTAAAAAAATTGAGTGGTGGGAGGATACATTCCTAAAGATCACGAAAAATAAACCCCTGAAGGATATGTGTAATTCAGTGATGGAAAACTAAAATGAGACTGAGAAAATCTAACTTATTGATCCTGCTACTGATCAACAAATTAATAAATGGATTGGGAGCTGCTGTGGGCTTCAGTTTACCTGCAGGGAATGTAATTTTCTGGCTGATGTAGATTGGGAGCTTTACAGGATCCTCTAGTGTGTGGAGTCTGACACTTTAAGGATCTGATCTCAGCATGGACACATTGTCAAATAAATAACAGCAACATTTGCTTCTACAGTAGTGCTTGGCAGAAAATACATTTCTAAAAATGGAGATGATGCAAAGGGCCTGCTTTTAATGCTTTTCCTATTAATACACAAACCTAGAGTAGTATTTCTGTCCTGGATCTGGTGCCATCTGAAATGTGGTTCTCCTCCATGCCTGTCATTCACCGATATCCAGAATCACTGCTGAAGGGAAGGAAAATGGCAAACCAGAATCTCTCTGGGACTGGAGGTGTCCTTTGCCAGGTTGAAGCCAAAATTTACAATGTAGGTTTGAGATAAAAAGGATTTTTCTAGACATGAGAATGCTTTGATGGCAGTGTAGGGATAGATTAAATAAAAACTAGGGAGAAAGGGGGTAAGAGAGATTGTGTTCCTTAGCTCAGGTTTTCATGTTCTTGCTTGATGCTCTTAAACAGACATGAAAAAATAAAGCACTGTCTTTTTACTTCTAAGCAACAAAACAAAAAAATCCCCACACCAACAATTAAATGATTTGTGGTCTTTAGGTTACAAACAGCAAATGTAAACTGCCCTGGATTACATGTAAACAGCAAAGTTTTGACCTGTACCTCTCCCTCAACACAAAACCTTGTAATTACTTAAGCTTAGCTCTGTTTGTAGACCAACCCTGGCATTTTTAGGGGGTTGTTCCTCTTAGTGTAAGCACAACTAATTGCTGTGCAAGGTAATGTTCATCTGCTAAGTGCAATATGCAGCTTCAATAAAGCGAAGGAAGGAGGAATTGCAAGGACAAACTCTATCTTAGGCCGGTTTCATGCTTTTCTTAGCCCCTGTTGCTCAGAGCCCTTTCTCTGGTACTCTCAGACTTTGTCCAACTTAAGCTTTTTGGAGTTGAATTACAGTAGAGTCAGAGCCGGGTCAAAACCTGATCTGATTTGGGGTTTTTTGCCTTTTTGTGGTTGTTTGTTAGTGGGTTCAGTTGTGGTGTTGTTTTTTCTCCTTAAATATGAGAAAAATTAATTTACTATTGAGAAGTCTTTTTGGTTTGTTTGTTTCTTTCTTTCTTTTTAAACCAAGAGAGAAAACTGACAACCTTGTGCTATTTCTGTACCAGGTTTGCAGATCAATTTGGTACCCGAGCAGCCTTAATTCTCTCCTGTGCATCTGGGAGCATCTTCTTCCTGCTTATATCCTTCGCCACCAACATCCCCCTCCTCTTCCTCTCCAGGCTGCCATCAGTGTTCATGCATGGGATGCCAGGTAAGGTCAGCCAGGGATGAGTAGCTTTACAAATGGCTTTTACTGCATGAAAGCTTTTCCCTTTTCTCCTGGTAAAATGAGCATACTGGTCAAAATTAGCATTATTACAAAAATACCTTCCATTACCCACCAAGCTGTTCTGTTTGGGCTGATGTTTCCTATATTTTTCATGTAAAAGACATAAACTTCAGCTACTAGAAGTCTATGTAACTCATGCGAGAGGAACCAAGTATAATAATATAATAAATGTATATAATAATGTAATAATGCTTGCTGTCACTTGTGTTTTATTTGAATGATTTGAATGGTTCTGTTTCTTGTGACTGGTGGGTTGTTGGGTCCAAAACTGATGGGCTCCCAGAGGGGAGTGACAGTGCTTATTTGGAGGCCTTCTTCCATGC